CTTGGTATAATGTCTTGGCTTCCTCGCCACTTGCGGATTGGTGGAAGGAAGGTTTGTTTCCTTTGTTCATTGAGGCCAACAGGGTGAATTGGGAAACTGAGATTTCTTAGCATACCCTTTTTCGTAGCAAGACCACTAGTATTGGCACCACCATGGCAAGCTAGGAGAGTCTCGGCGTTTCAACATACCACACAAAACTTCGCCATGGATGTCGGCCACGCTGCATTTCCACTTGACAGATCAGTCTCAAATCAAAAGAGGCAAGTCTGGCATCATACACGGCCTGGCGGGTCTTTGGATTCATCGTCCCAGAGCTTGGCCTTTAGTATCTTGCTAGCCATGGCCTCGACATCCTTCTCAGTGTCGTGTTTGGAGACGGCAGCAAGGACCAGCAATCCCTTGCCGATGGAGGAGACCAGTTGGCCATCGACTGTGACGGATGCTGATTTGACCCTCTGCAGCACGGCTAGACAGTGTTAGTATGGTCGTGGTTATGAGTGCATAGTGGCGGGGTTGGTACTCCTCATGATGGCGGGGTAACAACAAAGCTGTGTGAGGAAGATGGTGGTGCCCCTCGTTGCGCGATAGCCTCAGGGTGATATGTCGAGACGCGTAACGACGTCACACATGGGAATTCAGACATGCAATAGTTGTGAGACGAGGCTGAGAAGACGTGGAACGCGTAGGTGAAACAGCGACGCGTGGGGCGATTGGTGGCTAGTGGCCGCACTCTTGGCAATTACGCTAGGCCAGCCCTGTGGCTTCGCGTTACCTATGCGATACCTCAACCTCCGCACTGAGCCCACGACAAACAATCCGACACTATTGCCGTCGAACGCCTTCATTCGCGCGATTCGACTGTCACACGGCGGCTAGCACCGGCACCGACGCAAACATTGCCGTAACCCTCGCGAAAGCCCTCAGGACGAGGCTCCACCACCGCCATGGCCGCACGGAAACTCCAGCAGGAGATTGACAAATGCTTCAAGAAAGTCGCAGAAGGCGTCGCGACGTTTGAGAACATATACGAGAAGATTATGCAAACGGGCAATCCCTCGCAGAAGGAGAAGCTCGAAGACCAGCTGAAGAAGGAGATCAAGAAGCTGCAGCGGTCGCGGGACCAGATCAAGACGTGGGCCGCCATGTCCGAGATCAAGGACAAGAAGCCACTGCTGGACCACCGGAAGCTCATCGAGACAGTAGGGTGCCCGCCGTGGCCTGGCATGATGGGATGCTGACATGTGACAGCAAATGGAGCGCTTCAAGGCCGTCGAAAAGGAGATGAAGACGAAAGCATACTCCAAGGAGGGGCTGCAATTAGCGTCCAAGATCGACCCCAAGGACAAGGAGAAGATGGAGATGGTCGAGTTCCTGCAGCAAATGAACGAGGAGCTGGAGCGGCAAATAGAGACCATCGAGGCCGAAATCGAGACGCTGCATGCCAACGTAAAGAAGACGAAGAAGGGAGACAACTCCAAGGCGGAGCGGATAGCAGAGCTGGAAGAGTCGGTCGAGCGAAATAAGTGGCATCAGTCCAAGCTGGATCTGCTGCATCGAGCGCTCGAGAACGGCAACGTCGAGACAGAGCAGGTCAAGGGGATCGAAGACGGCATCAAGTACTACGTGGAAAGCAACCAGGACCCTGACTTTGCCGACGACGACACAATGTACGATGACTTCAACCTGCAAGAGGAGGAGGCCATCTTCGGCTTGGGCGAAGGCCTCGACCAGGTCTCATCGCACGAATCGCAGTCGGTAGCAGATAATGACGAGTCGGACATACGACCACCAGCGCCAAAGCCAAAAGCGACAGAAGCTGTGCAACAAGCAGCGAGACGGCCCTCGACACAGATGAAGTCGCCATTACCAGCACTAGCAACGCTGCACACGCCCTTGCCTGGTGCCTCAAATACCACGGGCAACGCCATGAAGCCCGCGCCGATACCCACACGGACGACGGGTGAGCCTTTGAAGTACGCCTCGGCCGCTGCCGCTGCAGCTGCGAGTGATAAAAATGGAGTGGGCATTGCCCCTTTGCCACCACCACCGGGAGCTGCCGCGGCACAGTCAGGCCTTGCTCCTGGCGCACGCGCAAGTGCTACGAGTTCTCCAGCCATAACACATTCCCAACCAGCCGCCCGCACACAGCCAGCCGAATCCGCACAAGCATCGCCAGCTCCTGCGGCAAGTATACCCGCTACGCCTGCTGTCGAGAAGGAGACGCTTTCGCGCGCTGCTTCGTCGGATGATGCTTCAAAGTCCAGCAGAAGAACACCGGCTCCTGAACCTGTAGAAGAAGAAGAGTCCTCGGCTGCTACTCCGCCGTTAACAAATGGTGAATCCCATGCTGAAGAAGACGAGGAAGAGTCAGTATATCACCTTCCTTCAAGCTTACAGGATCTCCTGGATTCCTTCGAAGCGACTAAAAATGACATATCCGGCTCTGCAACAAAACCTCCTGATGAGCGCATGCTAGCAGCATCCATGGCTACCGCGCCGGACTCTGCCGACACTGAGGCGCCCCGCCACTACCGTCCCCAGAATCCCTATCCGTTTACGCCCGCGCACTACCCGCAAGAGCCGTTACCAATCTTCGATGATCCTCGCCTATACTCCCGGATCGAGACCGACGCTCTCTTCTATGCCTTCTACTATCGCCAAGGTACATATCAGCAGTACCTGGCAGCGAAAGCACTCAAGTCGCAAAGCTGGAGATTCCACAAGCAGTATCAAACATGGTTCCAACGACACGAAGAGCCAAAAGCGATAACAGAAGACTACGAGCAGGGGACGTATAGATTCTTCGACTACGAGTCGACATGGTAAGTACCTAATTCCGTCCACCAGCCTCACGTAGGGCTGTCGTATGACAATGTCGCGCCACGCGGTGCTATTTCTGCACGTCATACAGAGCTAACCTTATTTCAGGATGAACCGAAGGAAAGCAGATTTCCGATTTGCCTACAAGTTCTTGGAAGATGAGCTATGAGCCGTAGGTTACTTTCTTCTTACCGACCCGCATGCTCGGCTTGGTAGTCGCGTTCTGTATCAAGTATTAGGTAGTCTTGGAATGGGTCCCATCTCGGGCGATATCTGTTTGCTCTTCGGATCCGAAACCTTCTCCTGCCCAGGCTCCGCTGCATACTGACCTTCACCCACAAACATCAGATCGACAATGGGTAGAACCATCTATGGTGAGACATCATGCATGGATCAAATGGAACTTATTGAGGCTCACCTGCCAAGCGCAGCCCCAGCCCGCTACAATTTGACCCGCCAGGGGTGTCGTAGCGGTCTGAGCGCCGGGCGTAATCTGACATGATGTGGCTAACAGCTGCGGAATGTGCTCAATTGGTCGGCCTTGGGTTACGCTGGATTTCGCCCCCAATCGCGTGGAGACTACAGGGCTGCAGGGGGAGGCTGGTCGCTCTCCACTGGCCGCCTTAGCGAGAATCCTTCCGTAACGTTCAAGCTTCCATTACGCCCCGTTACGCCCGGCAGCACTAAGTTGTGCATGAATTTGAGTCGAGCGGTTACAGCGTCAATCATTTTACGGCATTCATGAGCCGGTCAAACTCCACCAGGTTGCGGGTTAATTGACCCACTCACAACGAGCAGCAGGAATGAACGAAGAAAGGACACAAATGGGCGTTTGATGACAGCTAATCCGCTCGGGGCCGAGCGGTCAAGCCAAGTTCGAATTCGATCGCATTAGAAGCTTCATCAGGATAGCGCTTGTTCCCGCAATCACGCTGTCATCTCAAGTGTATCGAGCGTTCCTGTACCAAGATGTGATCAAGAGCCAACCAGAGAAGTGTAAAGCATCTCGAAACTCCCAGGCCGGTCCCCAGGCTCCAGCTCATATCATGCAGCTAGACAGGGGTCGAATCCTTCATCGTGGAACGAAAGTACGGGAGCAAGACACGCATGCACCAACAGTCACACAGCGGCCCATCCACCTACCCGCTTATGTGTTAATCGGTGAACTTTGCCCATCATGAATCCCGGCACACAAAGATCAGAATACCAACCTGTATGCATCGGACTATTCTAGCTCTCTGCCTTGCCAAGCAATGACAACGACAAATGAAATAGTTGCTACAGTTCAATTAAAGTTGGATCGGGGTCTAGGGCAGTCGCCCTGCATCGCCATAAGACAGCGGAGACGACACAGATCTACTATCGTCTTCCGTTGTGCTTCCTGCTTCTTCACTTAGATCATTATTTCACCGCCCCGATCTATCCACCACATACCGCAAGATTAGGCCTTTTGATTCAGCTCCTACTTGATTTTCCGGTGTCGGCACGGGCACTAGTCGTTGTCAGCCCTATACCGATAGTCGTGTGGGGTACCACTACACTGGTATCGACTTCGCCTCGCCATCCTACAAATCCACCTCAGCAACCTTGGACTTCTATATTCAAACATTTGGCCTCTGGCGTAGCGTCACTTACACAAAGGAGATCAAATCTTACGAAAGATACGATCGCCACACACATCCGGCCGAATCCGCAACCTGATTTGCTTTCTCGCCTTACCACACTTCTACTTTTGTTCGTCATCACCATGTTGGTGCACTACGGTTCGCATGGAGATGCCTTTGGGCGCCCTGATGGCTCATTTCCTCCGAAGTACCTGTGAGTCTATGCAGTCCCGTTCATAGCATAAGCCGCGGGGTGGCAGTGATCGGTCTCCGTTCAAGAGCAGGAAAAGGGTTATCGCACTTATCTTGATATAAGACTCATGACCGTTCCACGATAGTAGAAGCATCAAAATCATCAATAACATCTAACCAAGGCTTCATAGGTCTCTTGAGCAGGTCCAACTACGGCCTCGAAGACAGTCTTCAGTAACTAGCACGAGGAGATCATCCAGACCACAGAAGCTACGCATCATCACTTCGCCCGTGGCGCCCGCCTATCGCCCTTCTAGTGCTACCACCCGTACCAAGAAAACAAAGTCGATACGTCCAAAGCAGGAACAACCGCCTTCGCCCGCCATGTCCGGATACAGCGTAAGTGTCACTCCAGTATTTACAGCAATCTTCGGTGTTGACTCGTATGATCAGTACTCCTCGTCCGACCAAGGTAACTACAGCTATCAAGCCTCTTATCCACACTCAGGAGTGCCACAATATACTCAATCTCAAATCAATGCCTATTACGCACAGTATCAACAATATCCACCTCAACCATACCAAATCATCCCAGACTATTATACGCAACCGGTGACTGTTGCACATACTGCTGGATATCAACAACCAGTAGCCAGTGGGTATGATGTTGGAAGTTGGCAAAGTCACGGCGACGATCTAGGAATGAACACATCGCAAGGCCCAACTAGGTAAGCACTTTCCCACCCAAATTTCACACTATCATGCTGATATCAAAGCAGAAGTAGTAGCCGCACAAAGTAAAGTTCCTCCATCCGCTTGTGCGTTCATCAGCTAATCATGCTCCCAACTTACAGAACATGGACCTGCGATATCCCCGGCTGCTCCTCCTCAGCAAACTTCACCCGTCTCGCGGACCTTCAGCGCCACCAATCCACCGTCCATGGTGTCGGGACTCCAGAATACCCGTGCAACGTGCCCCGTTGTAACCGCGTCGGTGACAAAGGATTCACGCGAAGAGACCATTTAGTCGAGCATCTACGCAACTTCCATCACATCGACATTCCTAAGCGGAGGCCAGGGGAGAGAAGCGCATTTCCGTTTGGGTGGCCAGAAGGCGCGGGAGGTTCTCATCAGTGAGTCCATCCTTCAAAGACGGAGGAAAACAAAAGGGGGAGATGAGGAAGAGGAGGGCTGATTGGGTGTGCATAGGGATGACAGGGGTAGTACTGGAATTACAGGAGGGGGCGAAGAGACGATGGGGCATGCTACGGGTAGTGCTCAGCGTGTACGAATGCTTGGAGAGGTCGAGGGTGGGACTGTACGAGCATTGCCACAACGATCAACAACAGCAGCGATATCAACAAGAAGCCGTTACGCCGGCATCACACGAGCCAGGATCGCCAAATCACCGTCAAGAAGAGGAGGCAGGGCCGGTGGACGCAGCAGGGGTGGCAGTTCAAGTGCAGGCATCAGTCGTTTAAGCGCATCGTCATTACCGGCATTGTCTTTATCAACATCCGCATCAACGTCGTTATCATGGCGGAACGTTCATCAAGAACACGAATTGCATTCTTCATCAATTCAATTACAGAATGACCCGCCACAACCGCAACGGCACCTCACCAGCGCGGAACTTGCCGCACAAGATATGCTGCTTGGACTTGAAACAGGCACCGGAGACTTATTTGGTGCACCAACCCCTGGACCGGAGACTTATCCTGAGCGGTAAAGGTAACATTAGACGAAAGGCAGGGTCTCGCTCGAGGTGGTTGCGGTTCGCGTAATTTCCCTATTCTCTCGTTCATCACATTGTTTTGTGATTTCTTTGATCTTTTGCATAGCATCGCGTGGTCAAGGCGGGGTATAGATCATGATCGGGCTAGCATGGCGGGCCTCGAGGGCGTTTTGGGAGTTCTCCTTGGTTTCTTACTTGCACTTTGTCCATTCGCTTTACAGTAGTACATACAATATCGAAACTAGTTCATGTATACGACGTGGTTGCAAATCGGACCGTAGTGCGCAAGGTACACTCTATACGAACAGACCAATTGTAATTGCGCATGAATGGAATCCGATATTCATCCGTTTAGGCAGGCACTCCACTCGCTACTTTGGTCGCGCATCAGATGCCTGAACAAAACTAGTTCGGTGGAGCTTGCCTATCAACATCGTGAGGGTCTCAGCAACGTTTGTAGGATCAACATCCTTGTTGACTCTGGTGATCGCTTTCGCGTAATTCGGAGGAACTGGAGCCCGTTGATACCTACTCGCTATGGTGTTATATGCCGAGTAGAGATGTGTTGGTGACCGTGCCGCATAAGCCTCGCTTCACAGTCCTCCCCACAACAAGACAATGCGACATTGCGCACATGTGAGCTTTATCAAGCTGCCCGGTGCGGAGTGAATCTGGTAAGGCTTTTGTAAGCCAGCAGAGGAGATTACGTCAATGATGTGCAGGCTATCCGAGGTAGGCATTGCATTGCTGGTATGTTGACACTGTGCCGCCTAGGCGCATGTTTCTTACTCACTCCACGTTGCGGCGTGTGCCTCTGGTCGCCTTTTACCATGGTGTCGGTGCCGAGTCTGGTCGGTTGGCTGGAGGGCGACGAGGAGCTGGGTCGCAAGAGGTAACCCATTCGTTGGCGGTGCCCTGGAGTTGGAACATGGGGCTGGACATGGAGTTGGACATGGAGTTGGACATGGGTGCGACACCAACATTGCCGCTGTCACGGATAAGCCGACGACCAGTGGAAGCGAGATGCCTATACTCGGGTCCAGAATACATGTATACACTTATGCGCGCAAGACACCGAACTTGTGATAAGGTTCTGTGCCGTATGTACTCATCTACGAAGCCCTGCGTCTTGAAACCCCGTGCATGGCCTGCCACATATAGACTAGAACCGAGGCTGAGGTTGAGGTCCAGCAATAGGCCCATTCGCGGGAAACGATCCGCTGGCACCTAAGCTCCACGTGGTTGTGCCACTTTCAAAATGCGTGCATTGCATGGAGCATCTGGCCTTGTGATCCTTTCATCTATTCATATCCATCTAGATCCTGCAGTGCGGCGAACGGTCGCGGTGCACGAACGTTGTCTGCGCCGTAGCTATTTCGAACGCTGAGCGGATACTCGACCGTGGGGCCGCCATAGTTGAGCCGCATGAGCCTCAAAGATGTCTCGGAAGGCCTGAAGGGCCATTGAGGAATGTCTCGCTAAGGTAGGGCTGATGGAGGGGCTTGAAGAGCAGCCACAAGAGCCAGCAGCTGAACTTCCTGCTGAACTCCCATCTGCGTTGCCTTCTCACGGATCAGTTCATTGACGACTTTGCGCGGTTCCGCACGTGTAATTAGTTTTACCGACGCGAGGACTACCGTGCCTTGCCAGCTGCTGTACCTATCCGTTCCAAGAGAAGGTAGGCGTACATACGACCAATCAGCGACAGGGCTATCTGGCTTACACTTGACGGATGATAGGTAGGTACTGTGCAGCTGGCGCGTTTGATAGGGAACGATGTGCTTTTGTACACTACGGCAGTAGGAAAAGGCACGAAGATAATGATTATGTGATTGCTCGAGCAAGGCAAACTGCAATGACGTAGGTCATGGTTTAGCGCACTTTGGGCAGCCACCGAGTCGGAAAGAGTCGTATGGATGAACATCTGACACATGAACGTCGCCTCCTGCACACCCTTGGTACCAACGTCGTCCTACTTTTGCAACCTGTAGTTTGGTTGCCTTCTCCTCTGACTCATACTCATGTCTTTCAAACCTCACCTGTATTATTTCACACCTGATTTTACAGACTCTTTGCCGTTGCAATAACTGCGTTTTCACCCTGCGTTCCCCGCAATCTACTGCCAGCACGACTGCATTCCCCGCGGGCCCGAACAACAAAAATACGCCAAACTTGCCTCTCAGCAAGCACAAACCACCCACAATCTACAAATCACGATGCGCGATCTCCGGAAACAGGCTCTTGAGAGCCACAAGACCATGTCGCGCAAAGCCCGTTCGCGCGTCGCATCTACAACTGCCTCGAAGACAACTTCAGCAGTTGGATCGCCAGCACAGTCACGCGCCGCCAGTCGCGTCCGACATGAACATGACTCGGAGGATGAGGACGACTTCAGCGACGGAACTGCTTGGAGGTGAGTTTGACCGCGTCCATGACTTTTTATTTTTCCCCACATCGCGACCGCACCGGTGACATCATCGCTTCACGACTTTGGTATATGAACACATTAACATATACAACAGCACAGCATCCATCGACGATGTCCTCAACGGTGAGGATGTGAACATACCTGAAGACGCGTGGAAGTCTGAGCTCAACACGCGCATCGAGCAAATCACCAACCTCAAGCGCAGCAGCACCGAAGGCCGCACCGAAAGCCTAAAAGCATATGCCCACATCCTCAAGGCCCGCTATGCAAGGGACGAGGTCGAGGGGCATGTAGCGGAACTGGTGTCGTCGATGATTAAGAGCATCAGGCAGGAAACCACAGAGGCCGAGGTCGTTGAAGCCCTCAAAGGTATGAGACACGCGCTACAGCAAGTAGACTTTACTAACGGTCGCCAGCACTGGCTGTCACTGCCGTGACTCTTGATTCCGATAGCATCTACGATGACGTGGCCGACCAACTCAAGCGCTCGATACAGTCTTCTTCTTCCATTGCCATCAAAGTCAATGCGATCCACACCCTTGGCACAACTGCCTTCTTCGCCGGCGCCGGCGACGGTGAGATCTTGGACATCATGAACTTGTTCATCGAGATTGTCGAATCGGACGGCGCATCCATCGATGCACAAGACGAGGGGAACGTTGTGATTGCCGCGTTAGAAGAATGGGGTCTCCTAGCGACCGAGATCGAAGACCTAGAAGAGGAAACAGAGGCTGCAATGGAAGCTTTCGTCGAGCAGCTTGAGAGTGCTGACTCTGGTGTTCAGATCGCAGCAGGCGAGAACATTGCACTCCTCTACGAAAAGTCCCTTACCCCACAAGAAGAAGATGAGGACGCACCAGAAGACGAAGACTCTGACGACCCAGAGCACGTTCGTAATGGCGAGCGATTAGTGAAACGTTATACTGTCTACCGAAGACAAGACCAGCTTCTACATACGCTCGACGAACTCGCCAACGTCTCCACGCGCCGTATCTCCAAGAAGGACCGCAAGGCACTACACTCGTCCTTTGCAGATATCCGCAACACTGTCGAGAAGCCTAGTCGCGGTCCTGCTTACTCCACGGCTCTACATGAGGAGACTGGCAAGGCCTATGGAGCGGGCAGAATGAAGGTCAAGATCAACAAGAACGTGGAGGTCCGGATCGACAAGTGGTGGAAGCTGCAGAGGCTAAACGCCCTGCGACGGACGCTGCAGGGTGGTTTCACTTACCATTACGATCAGAATGAGATGGTCTCGACGGCTCTTCCGTTCTCTATGTCTGCAAGGCGGTAATGCGGTTAGTCGGGGTAAATCTTCTCAGTGTTAATGTTGATTCCACAAGTGACTTCCGTTATTGTACGCGTGGATGGCGTTGTTGGAGCTATTGTTTCGTACTACAGCGAGAGATTGGTGAGGGAAAGAGGTAGACTGGAGCCTGAAGATCCGGGTACGAAGAAGCTCGTTTTATAGAGTTCATCCAGTATTCAAGTCAATCCCAAAGGTATACGCTATACTTTACGCCAGCATAGTAACAAAAAATAATGTGTACCTTGTAGGGTGCAGCATGACTGTTGTAGAACTTGACAAGAATAAACCTCTCCGGATAGCAAAGCGCATTTTGCATCCATGACATTACTTGCTCGTTTGGGTAATCTTTGCGAATTTAATGTCGAGGCTTGCCGTATAGCCTTCGGAAGGTACGGTCACAATGGAGTCCGGGCATTGCCCCGCGTTGCCCCTCATCGCGAGCATCGCGTCAATGTTTACAAGATGCAACAAGATTCAGAGAAAGGATATGAGGAGTGGCCGCGCACTGCAATTAAACAGTAAGAAACTAGCTGCCATTGGAAATTTAGAAACTGCAACCAACCGGATTTCGGCTCTCCGAAACGTCGTATCGGTGTGTAAATGCGGGCTTGGCGCGGCATGAAGGTGTAGCTGTAGCTTCGTAGAAAGTTCTGGACAGCTTACCACCACCGTGCTTTTCTTCAGTCTTGCACATAAACTCCAACTCTTCCAACTCTTTCAATAGCCCCAGTGCCGTTCCCCTCGTTCATACTATTTCGAATTCCTCACATACAACCAAAGGGATTCAGCGACCATGGCTGACACTAGTAAGTAACTTTCATATGAAGCTCACTTCTGGGCTTTGGCGACCCAGAGAAAATTGGAAAGTGTGCTAACAATATCCAGAGCGCCCTCGCGTCTTCTTCGACATCGCCATTGGTGGCGTCAAGGCTGGCCGCGTTGCCTTTGAGCTCGTACGTCGCCCAACTTGTCACGCAAACCAGCGCAATCCAACCAGTTTGAACACACCATTAACAATGTACACAGTACAGCGATATCGTTCCTAAGACCGCCGAAAATTTCCGCGCACTATGCACAGGCGAGAAAGGTGAAGGCGCATCTGGAAAGCCTCTCCACTACAAGAACTCGAGTTTCCACCGTGTCATCAAGGGCTTCATGATCCAAGGCGGTGATTTCACGCAGGGCAACGGCACAGGCGGAGAAAGCATATATGGCGAAAAGTTCGAGGATGAGAACTTTGAAAAAGTGCACGACAAGCCGTTCCTGCTGAGCATGGCCAACGCCGGTCCAGGAACCAACGGCTCCCAATTCTTCGTCACCACAGTGCCTACGCCGCATCTCGACAAGAAGCACGTTGTCTTTGGAGAGGTCATCAACGGCAAGAGCATCGTCCGTACGATTGAGAACCTCAAGACACAGAGCGGCGACAAGCCTGAGCAGGACGCTACCATTATCGAGTGCGGTGAGCTTTCTGGCGAAGACTACGACAAAGCCACCGAAAAGATCTCCGACGCAACCGGCGACCCCTACGAGGACTTCCCCGAAGACCAGAAAGCTAACGCAGACGACGAGTGGAAAGGCGAGGAGATACTCGAAATCGCTACGAAGCTAAAGGACATGGGCAACGACGCCTTCAAAAAGGGTGATCTCAAACTCGGCATCACAAAATACCAAAAGGGTATCCGCTACCTCCACGAATACCCCGCCCCTCTCGACGACGACCCGGCAGATCTCTGGCCTAAACTCCAGGCACTGAAGATTTCGCTATACAGCAACTCTGCGCTTCTTCAGAACAAATCGGGCCAGTTTGGGGACGCGGCGGAGAATGCAACAAAGGCGCTGGATATCGAGGGCATTACGGACAAAGACAAGGCCAAGGCGTACTTCAGGCGGGCACAGGCCAAGGCGGGCAAGAAGAACGAGGATGAGGCGTTGGCGGACTTGCACGAGGCGGCCAAGTATGCGCCGGGCGATGCGGCCATTGTCAAGGAGTTGGATGTAGTGAAGAAGAGGGTGCAAGCGAGGAAGGAGAAGGAGAAGAAGGCTTACAAGAACGCTTTCAACTTTGACTAGGTGGTTGGTTATGCGTGGGGGAAGTTGCTTCGACCAAGTTCAAAGTATGGACGTTGCGCTCGAAGGTGTAAGGAAATGGAGTGGGTTCAGTAGTAGAGAGAGAAAAACACATGACAGATACCAGTATACCTACCTACTCATCTATGACTATAATATCATTTTTGAAAGAAAAAAACACTTTATACAAACCTTTAGTCATTGCGTACAGAGTATAGTTTAGTGTTAAGCGATCAACATTGA